TTTCCTCTGATCTCTTTCTCTTCACTGCTGCTTCACCTGGAAGTTAACCAGATCAAAACTAAGTATATTGTTCTTTTCAGATGTAAGTGCTTTTGACAAAAATACCTCATTTTATACATTAACAATGAAGACACAAATACCATGTTTTAAACTTTTCTGGTCTCAACAAAGAAGTGATCTCAAAATACTGAACAGTTTCAGTCTGACTTCCTGTGGATTTCTCACAGTTAACAGTTCTGCCGTCTCTCATTAGCAGCTTGACTCTGAAGGTAAAGGTGGGACTTTGAGGGGCTGCTTTGACTGAAAAACCTCACCGGTGTCCGCAATCTCCTGGGAGTCTGAGTTTCCTGCAGCTTCACCATCCTCTGGGACAGGAGACGGGAGATTCACCTCAGATCCACTTTGATTACTTTTCTGTGGTTCATGTCCATCAGCAGCACTCTAAAAATAGTTTGAAAGCAAAAATATATCATACTGTAGTACAGTGAGATATACTCAATACTTTGCAAATTAGTCTTCATTGTAAGAAAATATAAACATGCCTCTTCTTGCTTCGCCGTCTCCAGAGTTGATATTTTCTCAACACTGTCCTCAGCATTAGTCTCAACTGTCTTGTCTGAGGTTAAAAACAAAAGATGAGTTTAATAGTTAAGGGTCATTTAACCTCCAAGGTGATGTTAAATGACTCAACTCCAAGTTTAAATTATGCAAATAACGTTCAAGGAAGTTGTTTTATTATGTTTTAACATCCACAAGTTTATACAGAAATTGTTGGTTTCTGTCTGACAAATACCAGCTGCTGCTTCTTTAGCTGCAGCTCCTCTGCAGCTCGATGCCTCCTCTGATGTCGCAGCTTCCTGCTGTTGGTCCTTTCCCTCCTCCTCTGTGTTTCTGAATGATTGTTCTCTGCATGGTGTTTCTATCTCCATAACCTTCTCCTGCACAGTTTCCTAAAGATAAATAAAAAAGATTAGTTTTACCCAAAACTTCTGAAAATTACATAAATAAAATATAAGAGTGGTGAGACTTACTTCAGCTGAAAGCTGGTCTTTATCTTGTTTTTCCTCATTTGCATCACCTGATGGGGTCAAAAGGCAGCGTTTCAGAAGACAGTTCATGCAACAATTTCAAGCAAACCTCAGATGTTGATGTTCTATTTAAAGAGTTTATTGTTTCTTTCAGCTGTCATTGTGTATTCTTGATTTAAATCAAAAGTGTTTTAAAAATGAGTCAAATTACATACATTTTGCCTAAAAAAAACACAAACACAGTAGCCCCTCGCTACTTCGCGGTTTGACTTTCACGGTTTCTCAACGATTGTCCACCTTAATATTACTCTCGTGATTGGGACGGTACGGAACAAACAGTTAACAGAAAAAATAAATACTTAGGACAGGTGCTGCCATTTTGTAGTTTTCTTTCAGTAAGCCTAAAACTGTAAGGTCAGTCAAAAGAACTACATTACCCAGAAGCCAACAGTGCTTTCAGCTGCTGCTTTCTGCCGAAATGGAAGTAAACTTTTGATCCGATCCGAACCAGAATAAAAAGTTTGGTCCTTATTCATGGTGACTTCGGTGCTCAACGGCTGCAGAGAGCTGATCAGAACCGGACCAGGTCTACTTCCAGCCTCATCGGTCAATCGGAGTGCTGCTTGCTGGCCAGTGAAGCCTCTCGAGCTGGGAGGCGTTGCTTAGAGATCTGATGTCTTCTCAGCAGCTCATCTGGACTTTTTACATCTGGATCCCTCTGGATTATTTGGACTCTATCTGGACCATTGAGTGGTTTTGTGTTGGCTCTCCGACGGTCCGGCTCTCTCCAAAAGCATCTGGTGCTCAACGGCTACAGAGAGCCGATCAGAACTCAACCAGAACCAGACCAAGGCTGGTGAGTCCCCATATGAAATTTTGCAGTACTGTGCAGTACATATATGCATTTTGATAAAATTACGTAGGTTTAAGTTTAGAACATTGCAAAAGTGTGGCAAAGTTTTATAAACCCTTAAAATATATATAAATACTAAAATAAATATAGCGTTTCTACTTTGCTGTTTTTCACTTATTGCGGGGGGGGGGGGGGGGGGGGGGTCCAGAACGTAACCCCCGTGATAATCGAGGGACTACTGTAGATATCAATAAAGTTAACTACATCTGTTGAACAAAATTTAAAAAAAAAAAAATCACATAAATCAAAAGTCCAGGAACAGATGTGGCATCAAATAATGTTCTAAACTTCTCTTCACTTACTCTTTAACAGTCTTTCACACTTTAAACTACATGATTATTAAAATATTAATCTAAGAACACGGAGTTCTAAAAACAAATGAATGAGTAAAACTAGTAATAATAAATAAAAAAGGACTGGACTCACTGATTTGTTTGACTAGTTTGAACTCAGATTTAGCTTCTCTCTCCTCAGTCCTGTCAGGAATGCTGGCCTCCATCTAAAACAGAATTAAAACTCAGTTTAGCTACAAAATTATTTATGTTGTATAACACTTACAAGAGAACAAGAATCACATTTTGCTGATCTATAAAATGATCTGAAACGTACAGTCTGCTGATCAGCTTCGCTCACTGTAACATCTTGTTCCTCCACCGTCTTACTCTCAGTTTCACCTAGATGTGGAAAGACATCGTTTTTAACGTTCTTTGATTAAAAAGTATTTTACTAATTAAATAAGTAAATGCTAATTATATCTGATGTAAATGAAAAGAGTTGCCCTTACAGACAGAAATCTGAGCCTGTTTTTTTTTTTCTTCCTCCACTACCTGTTGTTCAAAATTTAAAAAAATGTTTTAGTGTTTATTTCTGAAATATATTAAAGTAAAATGGCAAACAGTTCATATTTGGTTTAAATGCAGCTCAATTACCTTGAGGCTCGTCTGTGTAACTGCACCATCTGGCTCTGTTAGTGCTTTAAGTCAAAATGCTGGTTAAAAATCAGCTAAAAGAAACTACTGGCTTCATTTCAGCAGGAGTGTGACAGCACCCACCTGGCACATCGATGTTTTCTGAAAGTGTCTCGGTGGTGTCAGAAACGACAGCTACAGCCGTCTCCTCTGCATCAGCTGCGATCGCCTCTGCTCCTGACGTAACATCAGCCACTGGTGAAACACACAAACAGAGCTGTGAAGATGGCAGCACACAACGGTGTCTGTTAACAGCTTTTTAAAAACATTTATAAAGAATGTTTGAAAGGAGCCGTCGAGCTGCTGCCATTCAACTTAACCTTAGTACAGTCCCTCGATACTTTGCGGTTCGACTTTTGCAGACTCACTCTTTCGTGGGTTTTCAACGCAAGATTGTATATGACACATGATTGGTGATAGGGAGACAGACCCCGCCCCTCCTTTCTCTTTCTCTGCTGTGACAGACAGTCTCAGAAAGAGAAAGGAGGGGGTGGGGTCTGTCTTTCCCCATCGCTACTGTTCAGGGAGTGGATGAACAGATGGATGTAGAATATCAGAGAAAATGCTTTGGTGGAAAAATAAGAATGAATCAGTTTTTAAAAAAGAGAGTGGATGAGCACGGTTCACTCAGGTATAAGACAGACACCCCCCCACCCCACCCCAGCGGCTTTCTCTTTCTGAGACTGTCTGTCAGCAGAGCAGACACACAACAGGCTGCGTGCAACAGACAGCCTCGGAAAAAGAAAGGAGGGGGTTGGGGATCTGTCTTATATCTGAGTGAGCCGCATGAGCGGCATGGATTGTTTATTTTAAATAATTAAGCACGACCTGAACCGAGCTTTTAGTCCCCCTCGGCGATCACTGAGCGGGCCAGGCCACCGGGAAATGTCCCAGTGCTCCCAATGGCCAGCCTGCCCCCGGGGCTCAGTAACCGTAGCATCAGTCTGTCTGCTCTCTTTCGTTGTGCTCTTTTAGAGCATTTAGAGTTTAGAACATAGTTAAGAACATTGCAAGAGTGAGGGAAGGAAGGGTTTATAAAGCCTTAAAACATATATAAATACTAAAATAAATATAGCGTTCCTACTTTGTGGATTTTCACCTATCGCGGGTGTTCGGAATGTAACCCCTGTGATAAGTGAGGGTCTACTGTAATCATATAAACAAACGAACATCAAAAGAAATGGTAAAGCTGCTCCAAGTGGATCATCATGGTCACCATGGTGACCACACACGTTTCACTCCCCTACTAATGAGCAGCAGATTGAGTCAGACTGTGTCTGAGCTGTAGAGCTCTAAAGAGCGCTGGGTTTTCTCAAGAGGTTCACCAAAATCTTATTGATCTCCATTAATTTTTTATCTCATCATTTGCAAATTTTGTCGACACTAATGCTACCAAAACCATAGCATGCTATTCCTGGGTGAGCTGAACATTTTGGTGCATAAGTTGCATGTTTTTTTAATTTTATTTTAAAACTGATACGAGATTCAGGTCAAAAGTTTTAATAGAATTGTAATAAAAGGTGCTCAATCTTTGTGTTTTGACACCCTTAACAAGAACGAGGGTTAGCATTTAGCAAAGAGAAAACACCTACAAACCTTTTTTGTCTACTGGTGCAACCATTTTGTCATCAAACAATGTTTCAAGAGGAGTTTCAGCACTTTTGGTTTCCTCCTCTTTCAGGCTTGTATGTGAAGTCAACTCAGACTCCTGTGTGAAGGAAAAAAAAGGAGAATCTCTTAGAAGCGTAGAAAACACAACTCAAGAAAAGAAAAATCAAAGTTTATTATGGTTTATTTTCCTTCAACACAAAGATACATTAATTTTACAAATCTCACATACCTGTGGAGCAATGCTCTCTGATGTTTCAGTCTCACCCGTGTCCATTTTGTTCTCTGAGGTTTCTGTCTCATCTATAAACACAGAACAGTTTTAGCTCATGTTGTACGATGCTTGAATAATAATATATTTTGTCATTTTCCACATACCATCAACTTCTGGTGTTTTATCAACAAGCCCAGCAGCTGGTTGAACTGCAGTCGGTGAGGCTCCAGTATGAGTGAGCTCAGTTTGGATGTGCGCAGGAAACAGCTGCTCTTCTTCAGCTGCAGATGTTTCCATCGGTTGTGGGTCGGGCAGATTCAGCTGTGATCCCTCCGTGTTTTGGATGAAGGTGGAGGACAGCGTACTGTCAGGATCCATGGAGAGCAGAGTCAGCGCTGCCTCTTTCATCTTCATGTCAGCATCCCGAAGCTCCGCCTCTACCGCGACGTCCTCTTTAAGACTCCCGGGTGGAAGTCTTGCCTCGGCTGAAGTACAGACGTCCATAAGGGTCAGCAGGGCGTCGGCCTCCACCGGTACTGCTGGCACCTCACTGGGCCGTGACTCTGCATCACCCTCAGATGGCTCGGGGGTGATGTCACTTAAAGCATCGCAGGTGTCCTCGGAAAACGAGGTGGCGACAGTGACGGTGGCGGGATCAGACTCTGAGCTCACTTCTCGGAGAGGTTGCTTCTTAGACGTCTCTTCAAGAGTCAAAGAAGAAACAGAGGACTTCAAGGATTTATCAGACTTTTCCAGCTCGGCTTCTTTCGGCGTCGTCTTCGCTTCTTGATCGTCGCTCTTCTTTTCAGGAACTTTATTCTTCCTCTCCACTTTCTTCTTTGCGCCTTTAAGGTCTAATTTCTCCTGGGACGTTTCTTCAGAGACTTTCCTCTGTTCTTTTGCGCTTCCATCTTTTTTCTTCCCCTTTGCTGTTTCGGGCTTAGAGACATCTGCACCTCCTGCACTTTTAACATCCGAACTGTGAACTTTCTTATCCGTCTTTAGTAAGAACGAAGCCTTGGCTTCCTCTTTGGATTTAGTTTTTGATTTTTCTGTTATTCTTTTATCTGTTGGCTTGACTTTTTTGGGCTCTCTGTCAGCGTTTGAGCTTGACTTGTGTAACTTCTGGCTGTCCTGATCAACTTTACCTTTCTCACTTTCTGTTTTGGATTTGGGTTTGTCTGCAGGCTTGTCCTCAGAGTGACTCTTTGACTTTTTAAACACGTCCTTGGAGTGTTTGTCCCTCTTCTTGGTGCTGTCTAGGCTGGGCTCCTTGTCAGAGCGATCCTCAGAGGAGCCTGCAGAATCAGGGCGAAGCAGCTGCTTGAAATCACTTTTAACCAAAGTTTTCTCTCCTCTGGCTTTTTCCTTGTCTTTTATCTTATCTTTATCCTTTTCCCTAATTTTGTCCTTCTCCGTTTTTACATTTTCAACGGGGCCTCCTTTAACCTTCTTGGCATCTTTTGAGCCTCCGTCTTCAGCACCTCCTTCAGCCACTTTTCCATCTTTTGTACTTCCTGCTGTTTTCTTCTCACTTTTGGTTTTGAGCTTCTTCTCACTTTTATCTTCAGAAGATACTTTGACAGCAGAGCTTTCCTTCTGCAGAGACTCATCTGCTGGATGCTCGGATTTTTTCTCCTGCTTTTGTTTGAGTTTGGCACGATCATCAGACAGGCTGCGCTCCTTCTCTTTGCGCTCTTTAGAGTGAAGGTCTTTCCGGGGCAAGCGATCAAACTTTCCGACCGAACGCTGTTTGAGAGCCTCATGAGAGCCTTGCTCAAGATCCAAGATGAAGGAGTGTGTCCGGCTTTTGTCCAACAGCTTCTTTGTGTCACTGGAATCTTCGGAGACGCTGCCGCTCGTTCGTCTGCGCCGGTCATCGGAAGATCCCGATTCTGACAGATTTCTTGTAAGCTTAGCTTGTGGGTTCTTTGAGGAAGACGGCTTCACCTCCTACTTAAAAAAATTAAATAAAACATGCTTTAAAGAAATCAGTAGCTCCAAATTTGTTTTATTTCTCGTGGCTTTAATTTACCGCTTTCTTAGAGGTCTCTCCTGTATCGCCCTTCTTCTTGTTTGAAGCTTCTCCCTCTTTTCTAAAAAGTGATATTGACACATTTACACGGATTTGTTTTAAAACGCTAATGTATAAATTTGCATTTGAGGTTTTCATGGCAAACCTTGAGTCTAGCTTCCTCTTCCTGCTAAGAGCCACTTTTTTCTCCAGAACTTTCCTCTCTTTGCGAGCTTCTTTGGCTTTGGGCCTCTCCATTGGAGCAAAATCTGCACTCCTTTGTTTTTTACTATCTGTTTAAGAGAAATAAGGTTAAAGGATAGAGTAACTTTATATGTACTGTATAGCAGTGGTTCTCAAACTGGGGTCCCCGGACACCCGGGGTTCCGTGAGCCAGTGCTTGAGGTCCTCAAAAATAAATAAATAAATAATTTTACATTAAAAATATATATATAAAACAAACAAACAAATAAACAAAACAATATATATATATATATATATATATATATATATATATA